CGATGGTGCCCTGGAGCCGCAGTTGTCTTTAAGAAAGTGCAGGCAGATCGGACTGCCATGGGTTCCTCTGGCCATCTCCAGGAATAACTGGTCATGAATTGCCCCACACTCAGCACCCTGAAGCTCCTTTATTCTCCACGAAGAGAGAGGCTCCCTGGACCCAGTGTGTCCTCAGCCAAGAGCAACTTTGGAACTGCTCACAAAAGAGGCTGGAGTAAACGACCCCAGTCTTGGTCATCAATGGCCAGTGGCTTCCCTTATGCCCATCTCAAAATGGCTGCTGGGTAACTCTGCCCTGTGGTCTGACTGGTTTTGGAGCTGCCTGGCTGCTCTGTCTAGGGGCCTCTAGAGTAGCTGCTTCTCCAAGGGGTCCCAATATCATGTACACTTTGTTCTTGGGCTCTAAACCCCAGTCAGGGAAAGCTTGGCTCAGGTAGAGTCCACCCAGCCCTGCACATCCTCACTGATCTCTGTGCCTGGCTGAAGGCATGTGTCTCTGCAGTCTGCTGTCATGTTCAGAAACAACTTCCGCTGAATGACACTGTGGCTCCACAAATGGCAGTCGCATCCTTTCCCCTACCTTGCCTTTGTCTTTCTCCATTTGCTGCCAATGGAACAAAACACACACACACACACACACACACACACACACACACACACACACACGAAGAAAAAAAAGAAACCGGCCAAGGAGCACCCGCCTCACCTACTGCAGGACTCCCCACCTATGTGGTCACTTTGGGGAAACCTGCAACAGTAGGGGGGATCTCTGCTTTCCTCCTTCCCTCTGGATTATTCTCTGGGCAGGGGCCCCAGTTAACCGGAGGAGGCTGTATTCAAGAAATCACACCCATAGGGCTGTGGTATGGTAGGGTAGTTGGCACTGGGGCAGTGTGAGGGGTTCACGGCGAGGGGTTTTGGGTGTGTGATTCCTAAGCAAGAGATAAGGCCACATGCTTGTGCACACCACACTTGTCCCTAGGCAGCAGTCTCCCTTTGGGGATGGGACCAAAGCCTGGGTCGAAAGAAGTCATATACAACAGTCATCCACACATTGTTGACTCATCTAGCAGCAGGGAGTTGGGCCAGATGGGAGTGGATGGGATGGAGTCTTGTCCGAGGACTTTATCTACCTGTCTCACTGGAGCCCTGGCACTCATTTGTGCCCAGTAGTGGGATGGGTATTCTGGATGGGTTTCACAGATGGCTCTTCTGGATAGAGAGCCACTTGGCATGTCTGATGGAGCATGCATGCTCACTGGAATGTGGTGGTTCACCAGTTAGTTGACCTGACATGGTGGTCATTCTGCCGAAGAACATGGGTAGCCTGGTCACCGATCGTGTTCGCTTTTGCTTGGACCTTGTTTGTGTCCTTCAAGTTTCCTTAAGAAAAGTAAGCCTGTTTTCACTACGGGTGTTTCTGTCCTCAGCTGACCCTGCCTCCAGGCTGATCCTGACCTCCCCAAACATAAGTGTACAAGAAGAAAAGACAGTGAAAAAGAAAAAGGTGAACAGAGAAAGACTCAAAAAGTACACTACAAATCAGAGTAAACAATGAGATTAAGAGTGAAGTGAAATGCAGAGTGCCCCAAGTGGTGCTTGAGCCTGGAGAGTTTTGTGGATTGGTTGGGTGGCTGTGGTTTTGTTTGATACGTGGCTTTCAGGGCTTCTCAAGCTAAACTCTAGTGCCTGCGGGATATTCGGCTCAGAAAATTAATGAGATGGTGGGGGACCAATTACGCCACCCCTTTAGGGTCTACAGGCAGACATAAAAATGTCTGATGCTGGTCATCATACAGAGCCCATGTTGGGATGCAAAGCCATGACCGTGTTGCTCTAAAGTTTCCATATGCTATCCATTCTGCTCAGTGCCTGGAAAGCAGAAGGGAACACAACACTCTCAGAATATTTCAAATGTTTTTTGTTTTTGCTTGTTACAAGTCTTCCTGGATGTGTAAGTCGCACTGGGAATGGGCAGAGCTTCATAGGACATGAAATACACCCCACAGGTAATGATTCCCACACTTGGGTGTGTGAATGACTCTCATAAGAGGAACATCAATCTCGTGCATTGGGCTGCACTCTCAGGGCATTTCTCTTCCATGACTATGGAAGAGAAGTTGCTTCCTTTCTGTCATTTGTCAACAAATATGGTTCCTTTCCTCACATGTAGGTTTCCTCCACCACGGGGCATCTCTGGCCCTGCCCAGGGAAAACACAAGAAGAAAAGAACGCAGGAAGATCTGGACTGCATCTTTAGTGGTGTCACTGAGACTCTGAGTGTCAGAGGTCCTCATTTTTAACATTTAATTCCCATCATATCTCAACTTTTTTCTACCTTTATCTGTGCCTCCATAGGTAGTCTTGCACATACACAAATCACCACCCATACTCACAAGCATCAGCCCAGACACCTCCATTCACACCCATGTCGGGTTATCTAGGCAACTCTCAGTGGGGAGCTTTTCAGATTTCTGCTTCCCTCTTGTTCCTCTTTGTTGTCACTTTGTATCTGGCTTCCTAACATTTGCCAGCAGAGTGTGCATGTTGGGTTGGTGTGCAGGCAGGAAGCAGTGCAGACTCTTGGCCCAACAGGCCTCTGTGCAGATGCAGTGCTTAAAAGGCTGTCACTTTTTTCTGCCTTGTGGCTCTTTCTCTGTGAGGCCACAGAAGGCCCCTCAAGCTGTCAGCTGTCCACCTGGGGCACTCTGCAGTTCACTTCACTCTTAATCTCATTGTTTACTCTGATTTGTAGTGTACTTTTTGAGTTTTTCTCTGTTCACCTTTTTCTTTTTCACTGTCTTTACTTCTTTTACACTTATGTTTGGGGAGGTCAGGATCAGCCTGGAGGCAGGGTCGGCTGAGGACAGAAACACCCTTAGTGAAAACAGGCTTACTTTTCTTAAGGAAACTTGAAGGACCCCAGCAGAACCCTCGTGTCCATTTCCTCCTCATTTTTCATGTTCCCATCTTTTGGGGGTCCTTCCTTGCCTTGGCCTTGTAGGCTTGGGAATCGGTGGCCCTTTGTAGTCATCTGCTGACATCGCAGGTCGTGGTTCAGCCTGCACTTGTGTTGTCTATAACTCCTATGGCTTATTTGTGTATCAAAGCTTTTGATTCCACTCAGGAAAGATCTCATGGACAAGAGGCTTCCTTACTGTGTGTTTTTTAAGCGGGACATCATTGGTGTCTCATTGCTACTTGTATATATCACCACACATTGACGCTCCCCTGATCTAGATTCTTCAGGACAGCTACAGTGGCATGGACTTCTCACTTCCTGTACTTGTTCCTCTTTTGGTTTTTCTTCATCTTTCTCCTCCTATTCCTCTTTTTTTCTTCTCATTTTTCTCCTTTTGCTTCTCCCCTTTCTCTTCTCTCCTTTTCTTCTTTTTGTTTTTCTTCTTCTATTTCTACTTCTTTGGCTTCATTTTTCTCTTCTTGCTCTTGTTCTTTTTCTTTTTCTTCTTTTTTCTCTTTCCTCTTCTCCTATTTCTTCTTGTTTGTCTTCTTTTCCTTCTTTGCCTTTGTCTTCTTTTCCTCCTTCTTATTTGCAGTCTTTTTCATTATCTTCTTCCTCCTCCTCCTCTTTTTTCTCCTTCACATCCTCCTTTTTACTCTCCTCTTCTCCTTCTTCTTCTCCTCCTCTTCCTCCTCCTTCTCATCATCATCTTCTTTTTCTCCTTCTCCTCAGTCTTTTTCTCCTTCTCCTTCTTATTTCTACTCCTCACAGTCTTCTTCTCTTTCCCCTTCTTTTTTCTTCTCCATCTCAGTCTTCTTATTTTCTTTCTTTCTTTATTCTCCATCTCAGTCTTTTTTGGTTCTTTTTGTCTTTTCTTTCTTTT